ATAGAAAATACTGTGTGCCTATATAATTTTTTAAAAATATGACATAGTCTATGTAGAACAAATAAATAAATGTAAGCATCTCTACATGAGTGTTTTATTGATGAACTTCAGTAGTGTCCTCACCGTGGTTTCTAATTCAAGTTGATAATAAACACATTGCCCAGAAGCAAAGGATGATCCAAAGTATATCGCACACAGTTAATAAAAAGAATAAAAATCCAGAAACTTGTAAAAGGCACAAATGAACAGTAGAAACATGTAAATAATGATAAAGAATGATGCAGAAGCAAAAATGAGGAGAACAAAAGGAAAGAGAACCACTTGCTTAGATGTTCCCGACTAATCTTCTTTTGTGAAGATTGATGTATAGAGCTCTAGTCAGCATTTTTAGATGTCAGTCTTCAGCTGATGATCACTGAATACAGTTTTGAAGGGAGAAATCTCCTAATTCAAGGACCCTTCACTTCTTGGACACCTGAGTAATCCTTTTCATTGCTACCACTGGCAAAAATGAACATAGAACATCCCTTCTATTTGAGGCAAACACATTTACGTGATACTTCCCATCCTTAAAAAGCTTCAAACTTAAAAGGTGGGGGAAACTGAATTGCTTATGAGCATCTTAAACTGTGGTACATCTCTCACAAGGGAGAGAAGAACTAACTTTTTCTAAACAAAATAAATCCTGAAGCCAGTACACAGGTGGTGTTTGTTTGTTGCTCGTTTTTGACTTGGTACATTTTTGATTTGTTAGCAAATGTTACAGATTTATAATTAGGTAGATTGCCCCCAAAAGTACTGCCTTCTGTTTATTTCCATGGAAACTACAACAAAGAACACGAGAACACTATTTAATAGAGAAAATTCTCAGCTACAAGATGCTATTTTTCAGCAGTCACCACTGGTAGCTATGCATTTTTCACCAGCAATGAACAAGAGCCTGTATGCCATGCTCGTAAAAATCTGTACCAATGGTGTTAACCCACACCTTCATAGCTGCTATGACGATGTCATCAATAGGAAAATGGTGCCCACACAGTCCAGTTTTCACTGTACTAATGTCCTCTGTTTGGACGTGTAGTGGAAATACAAACTCATGGCCTGGACCAGTGATTGAGCACCCATTGCAAGGCAGGGCCAACCCAGGGGAGCTCAGTGTATGCAATGCAGCTGAATGACTGGAAGGGGGTAGAGGCAGGATCCACCTTCTCCCAGGCCCTATTTAAGGATTGGCAGTAGAGATGAGGGATCTCATTTGGAGTTCCTTACTTCTCAGGGACTATATAGGCCTTCCCCACTGCTATCCCATCTAAGCAGATCTTCCATTGCTTTAGTCTGAGACCTTGCTATTCTGCTGTCTCGTTATGCTTTCTGTCACAATACAGGTCTCCAGAAATATAATGTAAGTGCTGGTGAATGCCAGTGGGTGTAGTATTTTCTGCATGAAGGAACTCAGTTCCACACCTTTGCTTCAGATGCACTTCCATGTCACGCTGCCTCTCTCCTACCATCTGTTGTATGGCAGTAATGTATAACTGAATATTGTAGGGAGCATACAAGCACTACTGTCATATCACCAGCATCTACCTTTGATCTTATGGACTAACGTAATAAAATGAGAGGAGTTACTTTCAGGATGTCCTTGCTATTTCCTAATGCTTGTGTCTTCTTGTTTTCAGTTGGGATCTTGAGCTGATTACAAAGTGTGTTAATGGAATCAGCATTTGAATTTTAGGTTAGCTGCTCCATTTGTTTGTGAAGGCCTTTTCCTATAACAGTTACATAAAATTCAAGAAAGTAGGATTTCTCACATTCAGTCAACTTACACATGATATTCCACCTGAAGAAACATTATGCATATTGCACCTTAGATGTGTTATACTCCTGCATAAATTGTGCAGTGTGTTGTACATTTCTTCTTTTTTCTACATTCTGAAAACTATTTATACTGTGTTTATAGTCTTGAGTCAGATTTCCCTTTCATTATTCATGTTCTAGTATTCCTGGTCTGCTATTAGATATGGAGGCATGGAGGTAGGAGGTAGATATTGGCAGCCCTGCTTATGGCAGGTGGGTTTGAACCTGATGATCCTCGAGGTCCCTTCCAATCCAGGCCATTCTATGTTCTGTGACACAGTTTATTGTATTGAATGTAAAATTTGTAAAACTAGAGTATCTTGCTTCTTCAGGCTCCTTCCTCTTCTACTGTGCCCCAAAGCAGAGTTTGACAGAACTGTTTTTGTCCTGTCACTGCCTTCTTCAGTCAAGTCACTCAATCAGCTTTCAGCTTTCACTGAAATGTAGAGAATCACAGGAATATTTGGATCTGACACCTGCTTAAGTCATCTCTTTTAATGTTTTACCAATGCATCTTAGTGAGAGGAAAGTAAGCAATGTGTTTGAGATGTTCAGAGAATGCTGGTCTCTTCTTGGTTCTTCATATTTCATTTTAAAAATAAGTACTTGGAGTAAATATAACGGAGTTTCTTTTCTGGGTAATGGTACCGTAATTATTGTGTGTGGTGTACTTTCTCAGCCTGCTGAGACTTATTTTCTCCAAGGAAATTGAGGTTTCCATGGCACTACTTGCATATGTTTCACTGTGTCTTGCAAGAACAAAAAGAGGAGTAATTTCCATGATGCTTGAGGCATAGACAGTTTTTAATCTCTGTAAAGGTTTGCAGAATTACAAACGTAACTTTTTACTTTCTGCTAATGCTTGCAAACATTCATACTAACAGATTAAAGATGTAGAAATGTTGTAAATCTGAAAATTGCCACTTAAATTGTAATGTATAAAATACCACCTCCTTTTGAATATGCTGTCGTTTTCACTTCTTGGACTGATAAGACTGCAGGGAGAATTCTAGATGTAACTTGAAATGAGTTGAGAATCTGCTACAGATAATATACCAACTCCACATTTTGTTGTTGTAAATGAAGGTAATGACTGCCTTTCCAGATATGAACCAAGCATCTTTCTTCTGTTATGAAAGCTGTGCTACATCCATCTGGCTTGACAGCTACTGTAAGACGTCTAAGTACTATACTGAATTTAAGATGCTTTTAGCAGATGTAAGACTTGAAGATCATTACTACTCACGTCATTGAAAGGGAAAATGTAGAGAGGTTGAAAGGAAAGAATGTGTTATAGCTGAGAAAAGAGTTTTATTTGTCAGACTGTGCAATTAACAGAAATTTGCTTTTTGAACTTTTTTTTTTCCCAGCTAATAAACTTCAATTTGCCTAAAGTTCATGCCATACTTTAACCTGGTATCTCTGGGCAGATTTATTTTTATTGTTTTTTTTATTGTAGTTATTTACACTATATTCATTTCCTTGTGCAAGAATGAGCAAGTATTTTAAATCTGTTAAAAATCACTATTATCAGGAACAGAAGTCATTTGTGTACACAACATAGCAGGAAATGCTTGCTGTCCTTTTAGGTCATTTAATATGCATCGCTAAAATATATATTCATGAATTCTTTATGTAGTAGTATACAATTCTGAATTTATTTTATGTGATTATATTGTGCATGTAGTATAGATGTTGCATAGCTTCTGTTGCAGAGGACATGTGAAGAGCTGCTGCTTAAGTAGGGTTACCAGCACAAACTGATCAGTATGTGACATGCTCTGTGAGATCCTGCACTTGGGTAATGTTTGATTACTCAAATGCTTTCAGTGAACAGAGAGTGGTCACATTGCAAGCATTGGGCTGTATGCAATTTAAAGAGGAGGTATTATGTGTCTACAGTAAATATAGGTTTGTATTTAAAGTACCAAAAACATCTTTAAGAGTATCAAGCATCCTCTGTAACGTGGTAACTGGTTGTTCTGCATTAGCTCTCCCACGCAGTTTTCGTGTTTCTTGTTATGTGTCTGCTTGCATTTACTCAAGTGATCCCTTATTGAAAAATAAATGGAAGTAATCAGTATAAAAGAATCATGCAATTCATTTATTAGTTTTTTTTTTTTAAACGAAGATTCAATGGTTTTATCAAAAGTCAGTTAGTGACTTTATTCAGATCTGTTCAACAAACCATTTCTTTTATTCAAATGAAAACTTCACTTTATTGTACAGCTGACTGCCTTTTTTGCAGGTTTTCTTTTTCCTAATGAACGGGGAAGAAAATAACTTAGTTTAAACTTTAAGTCGTCAACTTTCTTAAGTTTAAGTATGAAGTGACAAAAACAGTAGCAGTGGATGAGCTTACTGAAACACACTGTGTTTTGTGGTGTGACAGCTGTGCTTGCCTGTCCAGAACATGGTTTGTCTTTCAGGTTACTGTCATCCCTGCTGAAATCCACCACCCTCTGCCTCACTGTGCTCCCATCCATGGTTCGGTCCCCATAAATGCTCAGCAGGTGTCAGTGAATGTCAGTGGGTACAATTGTTTCTGCATGGAGGAATTCAGTTCCACACCCTTGCTTCATACCTGTTTCCGTGTTGGACGCCAGTCTGTCAGATTGCCCCTCTGCTGCCTTCTCTACTTATATGCTTGCTACGTAAGGGAGTATATTTGGAGACTTGGTTGTATCCCAGCCAGATTACACTTACGGATTACACTGTTCTGTTTAATGTGTGGTAGCTAAATGGTCTCTTGCTTTCAAGACTGAGCCTGGCATTAATCCAGTTTTTACAGATTTTAACCTGATGTTTGTGGGAAAGTGTTTTCCGGGAGGAAAAATTATAAGGGTTTGTATGTTCTGATTTAATATCTAAACAAAATACGGCATTTTGTTGTTTTTGTAACCTGATGGTGACAAATTATCACCTAGGCTATTTACATATTGCATTTTTGTTCATGATGAATATATACGTGTTGTAATTATAGTTTTCCTTCTGTTCTTACTAAATCCTTTGCAAATGGCTGTTTAGCAGAATTGAAGAGTACATCGTTCTGATGGCATTTCAGATAAAGCTGCTGTAACCTTTAATGATTCATTTTGCTTGAGAAAGGATTATACATGTTATATCATTTCTTTGTATTTTAGGCATTTATACTTCTAACTGAACTCATCAGAGAGAACTTCAGAAATAGCAAATTGAAACAATGCCTTTTACCAGCACTTGGGGAGCTTCTTTATCTTGTAGCCAGCAAGGTAAAACTGTCACGATCCTTACAAATTTCTTTAATTGATTATAAAGAAAAAAATATTATTGGAAGTAGGCAAAATATTCTGTCATCTCTATTGTTAAGAGTTTCTTGTCCTTGTATGTTTTATAATACTTTCTCTACTTCTTAAGGAACATGCTAAGCTGATGTTGTTCTTCCTCTGATGTAAATTTAATTGCATTCTTCAAATATAGAATTTAAACCTTGTGAAACAATTCTATCAGTCACTATAATGACTGCTGGCCTCCAGCTTGCAGGTCTAAGAGTTAGCCTATCTTAGCTAGAGATTTTGATTAAACAGGATGCATAAGGACAACCTACAATACCCATAAGTTAATATATCTAGTTCAGTTTAGTTCTTATCCTAGCATGCTTGGATTTGGAAAGAGACTGGACTAAGAGATCTGGCTAATGTCAGATGGAATAATGGACATATCTGACTAGAATTGGTTTAAACCTTCGGTCTAAAAATATTAATATGCTTTAAAAATGAGTTAATTGTAAACAAGAACTGCTACTAATAGTAGAATTGAAGATGAAAGAGAATGGTTTGCAAGAGCTGAGTTTTCACTTATTTTAAGAATAAGATACTTTTTTTTTTTTTTTTTTTTTTTTAATTAGAGGTGAACATGACTTCAAACAAAAGAAACTTAGCCCTAACTTAGCTGCCTCTCTGAAGTGTTTGTATTAAATGCATCATCTAATTGGTCTGAATGCTGTGACATTAGTTATCAGTTTGTGTGTGAGGTTATTTGTTGAAAGAGTGAAAGCACCAAGTAAATCTGTATTTGGGCTTCCTGATATTCTATGTCCTTTGTGTGTCCCACAGAATGAAGTGGTTGCTTTGTTTTATTTTGTAGAATAGCAAGCTTCATTTGCTAGCTAGAAATTGCTAGAATCTCTGTCAAACGTGTGAAGTCACAAAACACGTCCTCATACTGAGAAATTGTTATGAAAGTACTTCTACAGTGACAGTTTATTTTAGATGTTTTCACTTCTTTCTCTGTTTTCCTTAAGGGGGAAAAAATGATACTTATCAGACAGATTGCAAGCTATTTCGTTTTTAAGCACTAATAAAAATCCAAACTTGAAGATTATATATGGCAAGAGTTTTTTGCACTGCTTGGTTTTGTTTTGAAATTAATCCTTACCGATTAAAACAAATCTGTCTGTGTTGGCTCTATAGCTGAAGAGATTAGCATGTGCTAACCCTAACACTTCCTTTTCTTATGAAAACATCAGCTGAGAAACTGTTAAGTCTGTGTGTATTTATAAGCTTTGCAATGTTTCAAGCATATTAACTTGTTTTTAAATGAAAGCTCTCTGTCGTGTTTTGGGAAGAACGATAGCAATGTGTTGAATTGCTCTGAGTTAGAAGTAAGAAGTTATTAGAGAGGAGGAAAATTCATCTGTGCTTACAATCTCAAGGCACTGCATCTTCTTACAACTTCAAATATATCAGTGTGATTTCTGTGCTTGGAGAAACTTTAACAAGTCAGTTATATCATTATTTTCCTTTTTTTAAAAAGAGCTCTTTATTAAAAAATCTTTTTCTTTACACTGTACATATGCAACCTCAGAATACGTTAGTGTGGTAGACATTTACCTGCTGTTTAAACTGCAGAACAGGGTATGAAGTGACCTTGTCAAGATCATACACCAAGTCAGTAGTAGCGTAATAAGAGCTAACAGAAATGTTTGTTCCCAGTTTATATCTTCAAACAGCAAAGCCTTATGCCTTAACTAATTGAAGAGAACTGTCTGATTCATTAAGAATCATACATCAACTTTATAAACGCTTACCAATTGAGCCGTAAACTTGTGGGGACGTGCCTCACTTCTATTTATTTGATTTTTTTTCCTCTTGCGGTTTCCTAAGTGCTTCTATGTCCTACCTCAATATTAGATAACAATAATTTAGTTTTCAATTAGCATGAGCATTTGGTAATCATAAATTATCGGGTGCTTAATCTGTCAACTGTCTAGATGCAGCAAGATTCATTAAGTTATATTGCAGGGTCCCTGGTTGCAGTTCTGCACTTTAGAAAATTCTGGGAAAAGTCTAAATAATCATAGTGCTCCTTTGCAATCCTTAATGCTGATATTGGGGGTACACTTGCACTCTGTATCTGTATTTCTCTTCCAAAAAGAGGCCAAGAGCAAATTGTAAGCAGCGTGCGTTGAGTACAGAGAGGATGCTCTGGTCCTCTTAAGAAAATTGCATTAGGGAAAAACTTTCAAATTCTGTGTAATATTTCTCTTCCTTTTGTACTGTTTGTTTTATTTGGGTGGAGAACTTGAAGTTTAATTAAATCAACAGGAGCTCTGAACAAAAAGTAGGAAGCTCTTCAAAAGTTTGATGATGTGTGTAAACTTAGTAAATGTAAAAAATGGTAAGTATGTTTAGATAATTAAGAGAAGTGCTAAATTTCATTTTTTTAATTTCTGACTTGAGACTAAGCCTTGTAGAAAGCCATTCATCAGTTTGAAAAATGGAAGAACTATTGATATTTCAAGGCTATGTCATTTCTTAAAGCTTTTATTTTTTTAGCACATTTAATATATGTAGTGGGAGAAAATTGTTCAAAGCTTCTTACTTAATCAGATGGCTGAAATGAGAAACAGGCTCCTGCTGGTTCCAGCATAGGCTGTTGTTTTAACTGTCTTCACTCCTAGTCTTGTCCTTCCCTTTTCAGATAGAGACTATTTTTTCACAGTTGTTAATATCTCTGTGCTGTTAGCCTAGATATGAGCTTGCTTCGGCCAAATCTTAATGATATCCAAATGTCCACTTTTAAATTTGAAAATTTACAGTAGGCAGCTTGAGGGAGGGGAAAAAAAAGGAAGTTAATTCACTTCTAATTGCAGAATCAAAATGCTAATTCAGATAGCAGTGAATCAGTGTCTCTAACTGTGATTTCAAGGAGATACACGTAAGGATCTTGGAACAGTACTGATTTGTCATGAAGGTTCCATGCAGTAAGTTTAATTAAGAACTCTATGTCTCTCTGAATGACTTTGAATATCTTTTTCCAAAGCAAATTTACTTTATTTTTGTTGACAAACAAAATTATTTTGTTTGGTATAATTAAATCACATTTAAAGAGAAGCACTATTGCATTTAATATTCAGTCATCCCTTTCTGAAGTAATCAAAATGATTGAGAGAAGCCCAAAATCACTCTTTGTGTGTGAGTTGGAAGGAAATGATGAAACTAAGAAATATTAGGACAAATTCTGTTATGGATTTTAGAGACTACTTAAGCAAAATAATAAAATGCCAAATTCTTTGCTGCATGTGAAATAACATAAACTGTTAATACTGCCTTGAAATTTATATTTTCTAGCATACGATAATTTATAGTATGTATAGTATGAATGTTATCATTATTATATTCCCATTTATGTGTCTGAGATTATTGTGATTTTTCGATTTCATCATTTCTGCTGTTGGCTTCATTTCAGGAGGTAAAAAAAGAGCACCCCAGAGAATGCTTGGTTGTTCCCTCAGCAGCTTACACTGTGCTAATGAGGTGTCTTCGGGAAGGGGTAAGGCACTTTCATTGTCCTCAATAGAATTTCTCCACTGTAATAACCCTTTAGGCATTGTGTGAGATTGTAGCCTGCAGCACTGCACTACCTTGTCAACCAAGGTACTCTTGAATTTAAATAATCACGATAAGACCATGACCTAAGCAGAGATGAATGCAAAAATTCAGTGCTGTTCTCTGTGCGTCCCACATTTATGTACTGTTGCTTGGTTTTGGGAAATGGTAAACAAAAATTACTGTTAGTAAATTTAGTAACACTGTGACATTCTTACGAGAGATGTTCTGACAGTTTATAGTATTTTCTTGCAATTTACTTTCTGTATGGTGCATTTTTGGATAAGATTTAGTTTTGATTTTCAAGTGCCTGATACAGTTTTGGAAAACTGCATTGTTATCCTACTGGGTTATTAGCATACGAAGCCCCCAAGCAGTAATTAGTTTTATTGTACTACATACACTATGCTGTAATCTTAATTTTTCTTGGTGCTGACTTAGCCGTATTGCAGAAAGGGAATAAAAGCATGCTTATGATTCCACGTTGTAAAATGAAGAGGAATTGAGTAGAGGATTGGCATCTTCTGTTTACATGAGACCATTTGACTTTATTTTTGCCCAAGGCAAAGCTCAAGGCAGAAAACATGACGGAGGTTGCTGGAGGGGGGAAAGCAACAGAAGTACCTTTTTTTCCTCTTTTTCTTTTTGAGATCTTTATTGCCTACAGATTGTGATTAATAGAGAAAAGGTCTAGATGCATTTTTAACATCTTCAAATCTTCAGATGATCAAGAACACACACAACCATGTGTGTATTACGGGGTATTCAGAGCTCATAACTAAAAGTAAAATGTTATTCTGAGGTACATTAGTCAGAAGCTATGTAATGATAAATTTGTTTGTGGAAAAACTGTCTATTTCTGAATTTTCAATGTTTACCCCTTAAGATTCACCTAAGCTTTGCTTTTTTGGGTAGTGTTCACACTTCTCATCCATACTGCTTTTTCACTTCCCTTGTTTCACGTTGGCTTGGACAATGTTGCTTTGACCTAATCCCTCACTGAAGCAATGAAACTAGATGGTGAGCCATGCATGCTGGCCTCCTTTTAAGCCTGTGTGAAGGCAGGAAGGAGCTACCAAAAAGTAGCTTGGAGCTTGGTATCTGTCCATTTCTGCTTAAATAGGAGAGTATGTAAATACAAGTGAACATGAGCAACAGGTTTGGTAATTGCTTCATAGAACCTGGGAAAAAAGACACAGGCAATACAATTGCATGGAGGAGTTAGTATAGATAGCTATAGCTAATTGTCTTGCTCACATTAGAACGTGTGTAACTCTCATTTTAAGCAAGGCACCTGGAGAAAGTGTTTGAATCAGAAGTAGTGAATAAGTTTTAAAAGGTTAGTTTTGTTTTATGTGTTTTCCAAGGTGCTGCAGAATTTTAGATAAATTAGAGTTTCTCATCATGTAATTTAGCAGACATTTTTATCTTTCTTTATGAGGGAGCAAGATATGAATCAAAGGTTTTTGGTTCTAATCTGATGAAAATGTTGATAATCAAAGCTGACTTTAAAATATAACTGCCAATGTTTAATATAGGGCAATAATACATATAAAGCAATCATAGAAATGATTTCTAATGTTTATTCCTAGCTAGAGCAGTTCCTTTACAGTGAATTTGGACCTTGTGTATTTTCTCAGAAAGTATGGGAGAAATTATATTACAGAAGTCATATAGGTTGAACCATCTACTCTTCATCACTTTAACTTCTTTAGATATCAATTCTGTAGTTTTCTAATGGATTTACCTATAATAAAAAAATAATAGTCTGTATTGTATACTGCTTCTCCAGCTCACTGGTGGAATGTTTATTTTTTATTTTCCCACAAAGGTATTTAATGTTCATAGTTCTATATGTTCCTTCGTTAGCATTAGATTACCAATTTTTTACCAAACATTTAATTCTTGCTATAACAAACGCTTAGCGTGATACAACTTTACTTCCCTAAATTATATTCTTTTTTTTTTTTAATGCTATCTGTCTTAGATTAAAGGAAGAACTATATGGAAGTTGATTTAGGAAAATGATGGGATTTTCAGTCAGTCAGAATTACGCTTCTACTAAATACATTTCTCTCTGCATGATTTAATATGAAAAAATAATACAATATTTTTTATATGTTTATCTACGACTCTTATATTTGCTGTCTTACTCAGGGCTCCTTATTGCTGAACATCCATGAGTGACTGAAACAGACACTTCTGCAAGTGTTTGACATGACTGAAATTCAGCAGCTCTGTCTTTCAGTGCAATTTATAAAACTAGACGTACAGCTAAAACAGGGAAAATGGATTATGTGCTCCTTTGATACAGTTCTACTCACGTATTTTCATTAGATGCAGTTACACAGAACCTCTTCATTTGTATTTTGAAGGATTTTTTTTTTTTTTAGTTCACTAACATAACTTATGTCTTGATAACCTGGCAGGATGAGTCCTTTAGTTTTGAGGTCAAATATTAGTTTAGGTCAGATATCTCTTCTGGAGAGCTAATTAAGCAGAGAATGGTGCAAGTCTTAGTCGCTTAGGCAGTGCTCAGAAATAGATCTCAGGGGAGTGAAGACAGACAATCTCAGATGGCAGTAAATGGAATTATTATTAAAGCCTCATTGAGTTTTTAGTGCATTGTGACTGTACCTGACCTTCTTGTAGCCAAAGGAGCAGGACTGCATACCGAGTATATTAGTTGTTGCCACTTGTTCCAAGTAGCAATGGGGACTCAATTAGTAATCTTAGTAATCTCGTAGTATGTGAGAGACACTTGACTTGACTAATAACATTTAAAGTATGGATTTGATTTTTAAATTTGTATAGTTAATCTAAAAAAATCTATATTTTTTTTACCTTAACTGTAGGAAAAAAAAATCAGAAGTTTCATACAAAAATAGATTTTAAACGAATATTAGTTACATTAAAAAAAAAAAAAAAAGTTTTGGGAAGCTGAATTTTGGTAAATGTGTGTATATATCTAGATAGTTAATAGGCAGAGTTGGTGCAGTATATTACAATAACAAAAACTGTAAAAACAGAAGCCTAAATCTCCTTTCCTTTGCTCTCATGGCTGTAAATCAGAAGGAAAAGCAAAGGAGTTAGTAGAATTTTGCAGCAGAGCATAATTGTTTTAAGTGAGAATTGGCTTTGATATTTCTTTTAAATATTTTGAGTAAAGCAGAAGTTCTTTGGAAGAAAATGAAGGACTAAAACAAAAATGATGAATAAAACCTTTTTGAACTATATTATAGTGGACTTCTGAAATATTTGTGCATCAGTGTCTGCATTTTAGAATGTCCATCTGTCAGAGGAGGAATAAGTATTAAATGTATTTTTAATGAAGTGCACATTCTCCATTTTTGGATGGCTTTTGTACCACTTTCTGAAAGCTTTTTTTATCATTGTTTGTGAAGACAAATGTCAGAAATCCAAAGGGTAATAGGATAATGTGGAGTTAAGTATAAGAAAGAAATCCATTAGATATTATAATGAATTATTTGTGAAGCCAGACTGTGAGGTAGACTTGACAAATTAAATTGATTGTCCTTCTCAGAATTAACTGCTGCTGAACTCAAGAGTGCAGTTTAAGACATTGCTGAAAGACTTCACTTATTCAGAGTTAAAGGTGGAAGTAAGGTGGAATGATACACAGCCAAACCAACATTGGGAATGAATCTTTCAGTTCTATGAAGACAAAGGCTCTCCTTTTAAGTGAAAGCAGAGTTGGAAAAAAAGTAATTTAAAAAACAAACACAAAACACAGCAAAATCAGAGATATTAAAAGGAGCATTCTTAAAAAAAAAAGACTAGAGGGAGAGAAATAAAGGCTGCCTTTAAGTGATGTAAATTAAGTTAATTTGTGACCTCTGTGGTATGCTGATTTGTTGTCATTCCTCTAACTTGGTTTTTATTCCTTGTAGAAATTGAACTCTGAATAGTATTACATAGGTACTACAGCTATGCTTGCAGACTACCTGAGACATCTATAAATAGCTTTATTTTTTTATTAAAGAATCACTTAGTGGTTTTGCATAAGTGATTTTGCAGATCAGTGACTTGATTATTACTAAAAATACCTTTCAGGACTGTGAATCCCTTAGGGAAATTTGGGAACTGCTGTAGCAAATGGGACCCAGTGGTTTATCATAGACATTGGTCAGGATTATCTGCTTACCAGGCCAGTTATTCCAAAATACCCTTTTCTTTATGCTCTGAAGAAGGCCCTCTTCTTTATCCCAGGAAATTGTTTGTTGTTCTTAATAAGAAACGTTGGAATTATTTAATTTTATTTCTCCTAGTGTAAATGTACATCTTGTAATGCTATTCAGACACTGTTTTAATGGTGAATTTTGGCACACACACGTTCCAGAAAAACTCATCATGGAACATCTCTCATGTAACAAAGCCTTTTTTTTTCCAATGCAACATTTAATTTTGTGATCGTTTGGAGCAGAAATATTTTGTATTAAAATATACTTGTATTAATTGTTTTATTTATAGTGAGAGAGAAAGCAGGGGCTGTAGAATTTGTAAACATGTTGTTGTCACAAGTTAAGATTTACTACAAAAAACTTTGCCAAATATCAAACAAAACTAAGAAAGCACACTAACAGAATACACATTAAATGAAACATGGGCATAGTAACTAGTTTAAAAACAAGCCAGAAACATTACAGATATTTAAGTTTTCCTTTCCCATTGTTTCTATAGGAAGACCGGACAGTGAACCATTTGGCAGCAAAGATAATCGAAAATGTTTGCACTACTCTCTCCTGCTATGCACAAGGATTTATTACAGGAGAAATTGGACCAGTCTTATGGTACCTTTTCACACATTCTACCATAGATTCTTTGAAAATAACTGCTGTTTCGGTAAGAAATTTCCTTTCGTGGTGTTGAAATCTTTGCTTTATCTGGAAATAGAATTTGCATTGAAATGAAAATGCTTTTGAGCCTGCTTTCTGTGTGTATGTATATTTTCTGTTATATTGAACTGTATTGCAAATAACTGATAGAGCACAAATTATGCACCAGTTTGAATACAGTTTACTGTTACTAAGAACAGACCAATATAGCCTCCTAAAAGGGCTAAAAGATGGATCAGAGAGATGTGTTTGTTAGTTGGCTTACAGCATTTTGATTCCTATTTTGATTCCTCTTTGCAGCAAGCGAGAATTGCCCTTGTTTATGTTGTTCTACATTCCTTAACATGGCCTGTAATTGAAACCTAATATAGCTGCCTGTGTTGGAAACAAGTGTATGGAAAGACCTTGCAGTTCATCATTTTCTTGAACATTTGTTTCCTATGCTAGAGGTCACGACTCTTATTCAAAAATTTTAATTCAACAAATCTAGAAATTTTTTCCTGATTTTTTTTTTTTATGATGTATTTTATTTCAGAAGTATTTATTTGGTTTACAACATACTTCATAGAATCACAGAATCACTCAGGTTAAAAAAAGACCTTAAAGATCATTGAGTCCAACTATGACAAGCAAAGAGCTAAGAGCAAACAAAAGCTTTGGAACAAAAAGGTTTGTGAGATAGGCAATATTTACCAGAGCTGTGAGTTTAACTGTATCTCTTGTTTACAAAACAAAAGCTGCAGCCACCAATACAGGTAACATCTCAGGACTGAACAGTAATTTGATTTAGTTTAAATGAAGTGTGATAGCTGGATGCTGATTGCCTGAATAACGTTCAGGTTCACTGAGTTTCTGGTGGCTTTGCAAATAGAAAATGGTAAAGTTGCTGTTTGTGGTAGTATGCACATAGACACATCTAGCAGTGAGGTAAGGAATGAGAGAAAATTTAAACATCTAAGCACGTTGAAGAAACAAACTAAACAAAATATTGTTAGAAAATACATATATTTATTAAATACTGACCTCAAGATACCTTTTTGGCAAACACTTGCATGGGAAATAAACTGCTCAAACACTAGGAAAACACATTTACTTCTAAGTACATTTTATTTAACAAAATATACATTATAGAAGCCTGTAAGCTACCACACTATGTTGTACTTCAAAATTGAATCATCTGGCAGCCCTCGTTGGGTTGGCACTCGTTAGTGTTACAGCAATGACAGCATTTTTGCCAACCTCTCACCCTGTGATTTTTTTTTTTTTTTTTCCGAGTTTTTTAATTTTTCACTTTTCATGTAAAATCCAAGAAGTATCTGTCAAAGCCTATTTGTCTTCAGGAACTGCTCTGCCATGCCCTCTTATAGGTGGCATATGTTAGTACCAAGGTATGTTTTCAAGGTCATGACAGCAGCGATTACTAGAATGTCCTAAAGAAAAATGATTTGTTGAATGCTCTATTAGATTTATTGGGGAAGACCAGGTTCCTTAGAAATCCAAGCTTCAGTGTCAGGCCATCCATTTGAAGACATGACACCTAGTTGTGTGTGCACAGGGTTCTGCTGAGGCAAAAATCTCCTTAGTATCTCGTGCTTGAATATGTGCAAATATGCAGTATAAGTGTAAATAAGGAGCATATAAGAAAACAAACATTGGTTTTTTTTTTTTTTTTTTTTTTTTTTTAAATTACTGTGAAGGCACAGGCTTACTGGAGATCACACTTCTTATTTGAGTGACTACTAAGGTTACAGTCACACTAGAGGCAGGGCTTGCTCCAGGTCAGCATATTGGTGAGATGTGAATGAAAGCAGCAGGGAGAAGGACTAAAGGAGTATGAAATATTTGTTCTTCTACATCACTTGCTTAGCTGCCCTATTTCTTGGTGCCTTTTTTTTTTTTTTTTTTTTTTTTTTTTTTTTTTTTTTTT